CTCTGGTCCATCAGTAGCATAAGACATACTGCAACCAAGCAAGACCTGTAACGAAGTGAACGTTTTAACGGTCAGCAATGTATTACATATGTACTGTAGTCTATTTCGTAGCACCTCTGAAACTTTAATTGCTATTACTACCCGCCATGTGTGAATTAGCAAAACAAAAACATAATCCTTTACAGTACTAGTATTCGAGAGTTTCACATGTGCCATTCAAACACCATTTTACACATGTGTTTTCTATCCTTTGATATGTGTGCCTTAGGTGAAATATTCTGCAAAATATAGTCGGCCATTTTTTATATTGTTTGGCAAGTTAAAGTGTTTGCTATAGTTGATATTCAGGATGTCAATGTTTTTTAAAGGCAAGTTTTATTCTGAATGAGGACCGGTATATATTTGCCAATATTTAATTAATAAATTACTTTGCTTTATTGTTCCATTGATTTAGAAACTTTTCTCACTTTACATGCTTTGTGGTACCTCAAATTGAGGCAGCTGTATACAAGCTAGCACTATCTCTCGTGTTGGGGCATTGTTCGAGTAATACAGTATATGCAACTTGATCACATATTGTTCAGTTGTGTAATGAAGTATTTCAGTTTTAGTGTTCTACCAACCAGCAACTGTGGCAGTACTTCTGGGTAAACCCAAAGTTAAATATTTCAAACCTCGCGTTAGAACCAAATTATTCATTCAGTGTTGAGTTGCCCCCTCCCCATAACATTTACATATAACAGTCAGACTAGGATGGTTAACCTTGTTAACCAATCACTGAACTAAATTTAAAACAAGGTCCTTGTCCTTACACATTTGCATGAAAATCATGGATAAGTGGTTACACCATTCCTGGTAATTTTCATGACGTTTGTGGTGCATAAAAAACATAGCATAGTTACGCAGCATCACTAGTTTTGTCCTATTATTGCATTCCTTGGAATAGAAAATTATTTCTGAAATATACCGATATGCTGAGGGTCAACACAGGCCATTTTACCTCCTGATATACAACATTACAATGAATAGAAAAAAAAACTGGTAAAATAAACAAGCCTGCAAATAAAAATATCAATGAATGCCCTGGAATCTTTTCTCATATTTATGCAGTTTCAAATTACTTATTTCAGGAGGGTTTCAACATTTAGACATTTTTTCTGGGTTTTTGAACTGTCAAATGATATGACAAGTGACTGGTATTCAACCTTAAATATGAGTTACATCAGTTACAAAATCCTAACTTTACGCTGTAGTTTAAAGACGATCAGAATAAGTTACACTAGCGTCATGCAGCAATATTACAAAAGACAAACACACCTTCCCAGACCACCAAAGCAGTGCACCATTGCCTTTCGTCCAGACATCAGACATACCCGGATCTCTTCCAACATTTTCATACAGTTAGGAACTGACGGAACACTGCCATCGGGAAAGGAGTAATGATGAACTACAATATCAGCTTTTTGGTATTCCTGAAGCAGTCTGGGAACTCTGTATTTGCTCAATTCCCCTCTTGTACAAAGGATAAAAATCTCTGTAATCCCTTCACTTTTTAATGTCTCTGCAACAAGCAAAAAACACAAACAAATAGTGTATTAACCTTTTCACCACCAAACTTTCTCGCTAAAATTTATCTGCACTTTTTTCTTGAATTCTTAAATATTCCTAGAAATGAACCCTAATTTTGGAGCCAACTGACAAAATTTCAGTGAATTTTCAGTATTTACTTAAAATTTTTTGCTTTATTGTCCCAATCTTCGGAAAGAAAGTGCAGACTATAAACGGGACTATTTTTTTAAATTTGTGATGAAAAAAGTTTAATTTTCCATGGTATTTAACAATATATCATAGATGTATAGCGGAATTAAAAGCAAATAAACCCAAAATCAAATTAGTTATATGCCTAGGGGTACGGAACAATTAAAATATTACTTATTTTAACCATAGAAATACCTCTGTAATTTATGTAAGTGTACCAATACACTCTATCATTTCATGTGTTTATCTGAAAGATCACCTGGACAATGTTTTGGATAATGCACGGTTACTAAAAAAGACGGTTAGGAAACGCTATTGTTAAAAGGTGTGAATCTGCCTAATCCCTCAAGGATGCGTGCCGCGCTGTGTACGCCCTGCCCTCTATTGCTTGAGATTTCAAGGCCCACCATTTTGTTTCATTTTTGTGTCGATCACTTGATGTCCTGCGAATTTGAAGTTTTAAGCTCGTTTTCGATAGAATATCCACGTTTAGTGCACAAGCTCTACGAAGAACTACACGTACATTTCGGATGAGTACTCTTCGTGACTGCGATAATATTCAGAATCGAGAGTCGTCATTTATCGTTTTCACTGTTGTCATGAAAGTAAGCTTGGGCCCCTGAATAAGAAGTGATGAAAATTCTAACCCCTAAGTTGTTATTTTAAAATACATTATATTATAAAAAATACTACCAAATAAATTTTTAGTATACTACTGTGCGTACTTATGACGGTTGTATGCGATTTTGGGGCTTATTAGAATAAATTTTATCGTTTTGCTTTCGCGTCACTGTATCAGCCATTTTGTGTAAAGTCTTAACACTTTTTTGTAGACGCCGTAGAAATCATTGAAAATGTATTCAACATTTTCCGCCAGTTTTATAAAATGCCTGTTTAATTGTTGTCTGTCCTTGTTTCAGTTTTTTGGCAAATTTTTCATGTTACAATCAATTTTTCGAACCCTTTTTAACCGTTCTTAATTTCATTGGAACTGCCTGTTGTTGCATATTTGGTCTGCTTACATGCATTTTGTAGAGCATGGGCGGGTCATTTCAGTTATCTTATCGCATATTTTGTTTATTTCCAACAAAATGTATGTTGTATCATGGCTCCTCATTAAAACTTTCGCATGGCTGAAATATAAACACTTGTATGGTTTCTTTGACGTCTTTTTTTCTGATCATGTTTTGTTGTTTTTTTATTTTAGTTTTCTGCAGATCTTGTTCTTTAGAAATGAAAATGCCATACAAGACAGGCAAATTTGTATTGAGTTTAAACTGAGCGACAGGTTTTGTCAGGATTCACTGGAACAACTTACACTTTAGTATTACTAAAAGTATCGACACAAACACAATAAATGGCGTGCAGTTGCTGATTGCAATGAACTCTGGGAAAAAATGACGTCATATTTGCGTGATATCCTGTCTACATTTTATGTTAATGATTTATCACAGATTAGTACGTCTTTTGTTTCAAATGTTTACCCGCGACACGCATCCAATGAAAAGAACACGGTTCATTTCCTAACCGTATTTTTTAGTAACCGTGGATAATGGGTCATATTTTGGGAGGTCATTGGAACCAAAACATTGTCCAGGGTGAAATTTGGCACTTTTTCTCAACATCATTTGTACAATCAACTGTTATTACATCTAATACAATCGATCTATTCGGTACCATAAAAACTACTGTAAAATGACTCATTTTCACTGGGTTTAAATTTTGCTGATTTACCTTTTCATGCATATTCATGGTTTTATCATTTAGGTAATGTGTTCTATGCTAAATTATTCACTGGGTTTTAATTTAGCTCATTTTCCAGTAGGCAAAATAAGCAAAATTAAAACCCAGTGTATAATTAACCCCTTTACAGTGTACATTTGTGCTGTGTCAATCGAGAGATGTTCGCTGTGCCGTCATCTTGCAATTCACCCGTATCTTGAACAATTTCGCGGACTTCATTAGCGGCCAACTTAAATTCCTCGTCCAAAATAGTTTCGGCTGAACTTGCCGTTTCCTTGATGTGGGCAAGAAATGGTCCGCGAGTTACTGGTGGAGGTAAACCAATGTACGATGTCAATTTTGCCAAACTTTGGCGTCCTTTTCTAATCGCGTGACCACCGATGGCAATCTTCCTGTTTATATCAAAGTGACCACCGACCTTCTTTGTTGATGCAAATTGTCTTGACTTTTGAACATGGCACGTTTCATTACTGCAAGCAATAACAAAATGCGATCCCAAACCATGCTGTAGTATTTTTACTATACGGAGGGAGCTGTTTGTACATTTTTTGCACGCAGCTGTTTCCACAATTTGTTCGTTTATAATGTCCAAGTCAACAATTCTAATTGTGCCGGTCATGGTGTCAAGTTCAGCGTCGTCATCCTCATCTGTTTCGCACATTGCGACTTTCAATGCCGATATACTGACACTTTCTTCAGGTTGCAAAGATTGTGGGTTTTCCATTGTATCGTCTTCAATCTTCGAAACGTCGCTACTTTCTCGATCGGCCGATTGATTAAATTGTTGCATACTTTCTCGGCGAAATCTCTTTACATATTGTCGACGTTCTTCTCCAAACTTCTTTGGATTCATATTCTTTCGTCCCCGTTTCATGGTCGATTGGAAGACTTTAGTGTTGAAGAGCGAAATTAAATTCGTAGACGATGATCGTAAATAGAATGCGTGTATCATTGAAGCGTAACTTGTACTGAATGCGAGAGAATGTTTATATTTGCTATGCGTGGTGACTATTATGCAAATTAGCTATCTGTTATGTCTTTGTTTGATTAATTAAAACATGGGATTCAAAACAAAGCCATGTGCTTTTGTTTTTAATTAATACAAATGGGTTTTTACACCCTATAAAAACACCCAATTCATTTTTTTTTTCCTACTGAGTGTTTGCTGCTTATAGGTCAGCATTGAAAAATACAAAAAAGTTGAATTTTGGGTTTCAAAGCAAAAAAAACCTATACAGCATCCTTGAAAAAAAAAAAACGTGATGTAAAATGTGACATCTTTTGATGTACATTTCCTCAGTCAATGCAGAGAATATTTAGAAATCATAGCTCTGACAGCTTGAATGATTTTGGCGGCATGTTTAAAAGTTGAAAGTTCATCGCTAGTTTGATCAACAAAGCTTTCAGTTGTGTAACTTGTGTATTTTGTTATTGCGTCCAAACTTGCATTATATATATTTTTTTGGGGAAAACAAAAGTATCAAGAATGTTGAATATCCATCGTGGGTGTAATTTAGATGTCACAGCATTATTTTGTTGGCAGGTTAGCATACGTTCTATAAAAAGCTCCATTGCCACGACTGTCCTTGTATGTGTAAAATTCTCACTAAACCTGACTATACCAATCTGTATCATATTAATTCACACTTTTGAAAAACAATCATTTTACAACCACCTTAGTTTTTATTTTTACTACCACTTTAGTTATTTGTTTTGGTGGCACCAAAAAATCGCCCAGGTGCTGAAACATTGCCAAGGGTGTTCTAATAGTTGTGTTCACGTTACACGAAGTACGGGCTAAGATTTAAGCAGATTTAGGCTTATCTGGCATATTTGCATTTTGGCTAGACCCAATTGCGTTCACGCACAGGGAGGGCCAGTCGTTAGCACAGGCTAAGGGGCACCATCAGTCGGTGACCTTTGGTAAGCCGCTATTTACGAACAAAAAATGGATGACATGTGCGAGGTTCTATTTTTGCTGCTGACATGTTTCGTTCTAATTTTGAAGCGACGTGCACAGGAACGCGAGAGAAGACGAACCCAACTTATTTGGATGCACAGAAACAGTATACAACGGTGTAACAGAATACAGAGTTTTATTAATGCATGTCGTAGACAGCGAACCAAATTTATTTTGTCTACGATTGGAGCTGCTGTACGCTCTACTACAGCATGGATGTACTAGTACATCCATGACTACAGCGACCCGATCAGTGTGGAAGCATGTACACTGAGCTTGGTTGCCATTTTGGGAATGAGAAAATTGGATATATTTGATCATGTGCATAATGTTCACACCCAAAGGTCGCTGCAGAGGGCGCTTAGCCCTGGGCGTTCGCACACACTTCGTTAGCCCGTGGTAAGGGTCTAGACCGCGTCTTAAATTCGGATCAGATTTAACCCGTACTTAGCATTCCTTAGCCCGTACTAAACGTTCACGCTTGTTTGCTTAGCACGGGCTAAGAAATTTGACCTCTTGAATGCAACTAATACCACACTTACCAATATCTGATGACAGGCTCCTCCATGTGTCCTTAAACCTGCAACCTGCAAAGCAATATACAAGACATCAAAAACTTGTGTGGAATATCATTATATTGAATTTCATGTGCATGTCTATCAAATGCATTTTAACAAATGGGCATTACAGAATGAATAATTAGGAAAGTATCGATTGCCAACAGAAGTAGGGAGTGTATTATCGTATTAAAAAATGAAAAACACATGAAATTACACACTGAATATGCAGAAGCAAAACTCCTTCATGCATTTGTATTTCTATAAATGTATGTTTGTTGTGTTATTTCTAATCATCTTGCAATGATGTCAGAGCACTTACATACCCTTATCCTAAGAAGTCTCAATATAATCTATTTCATGAACCTAGTGTAATGGCTCTAATAGAAGCACATGTAAACGCAATGAATTGCATTAAAGTACGACTTATATTGCCTGGAAACACACCTGTAAATGTACATACGGGGTAAGTATTATATTACCTGGTAAGCCACTTATGCCAAGAAATTCTGGACATCCTGCAAGCGAGTAATCAATCCTGCAAATAGAAAAAATATATTTTCATATAAAGAATGACGCCACGATGGTTCTAGCTTGTTAAGTTTTTAAATAAAATGTTTAAATGCTGTCAGATAATGATTTTTATGTGGCGATTACGTTATATTAGTTATCGATTTTATGATCCGGTAGATTTTTCAGTATTTTTTCAGCTAATAAAATATGTCTAAGATACAAACTACGGCTGAATTCGAATAAATTATAAATATGAATCTTACCAATCGATCTTGAATGGCGACAAATCAGTATCCCCTTCTTCGTCTGATGAATCGAAGTTGTTCATCGCCCCGCTGTCCTTGTCCTAAATAATACAGTAAAATATATCGATTCACGTTACATATAGAAATTTGACGTGTGATACAGAAATGCCGAGGAAACACTTGTAAACATGTGTGAATAAGTACCAAAAACACCATCTTGGAATTCCGTGTTTTAAATTTACAGGGATCGCAGAACTCTGCGCTCTGATTGGCAGAGAACCAATCCTTGTTCCTCGTGCAAATGCGCGAATACCATTCTTACAATTGATATAATTATATTTGACATTTTGAGTTAATTGTTGAACAATTTGTAATTAACACTTATAATTAATGGGACAAAAATAACGAGCAAATAACGTTACAGGTTGATTGCTTGTTATGTCAGTTACAAAATATATATTCTCGTACGAGGATACCTTTTTTTTTTTTTTTTGCGTAGAGACAGACGCAAACAGCAAGATGTGAAACAGTGCAACATGGCGGATATAATATACAGTGAGGGAGCGTTTGTGTAGAGTTGGTATTTAGCCAAGAATTGAAGTCTGCCGAAGTTATTTCATTATGATACGTTACAGCTGTTATTTTCCTACTTAGAATATATTTGTAAGTACACATGTTAAGAGACACCTGATTTTTTTGGGTGGAAACTATGAAAAATGAAAGTTCGTCTGCCTTCCTGGAGATCTGAGAAACTGGGATGGGCATGGAATGTTACATTTTTGCATGTCCACTGTAATAGTTGTGTGTATACACAAGTCTTGCGTTAAAATAAATATAATGATACACAATGGCTTCCCGGAGATTTATTTGGTTGTAGATCCATTGTTGGGCCTACTTCAGGATTATACATTGGGTTTATAGCGTGAAATAAAGTTTAGTTTACTTGTCATAAAAAAAAACACGGCTGTTTTTAGTACTAATACTGTGAGTGTAAAGGAGTTAATATTGAGCTCTGTACTGGTAAAAGACACTTGACCAAATACCACTTCGTGACCTGGGGATTAATTTACTACGCACGGGTTGACGCAAAACTCGGACTAGTAGTAGACTAGTCTGAGCGTAAAACAATCCAGTATTATTCGTGTGGTAAATGTTTAGTAATAACAATGGACAGGGCATTTCTGACAATTGTTAGTAACCAAACTTTTTACGAGTACGAAAAACAAACTTTTTTTAATTATTATGGAATCCTAACTCTCTTTCACAAGTTCATGTTGAAATTATTTTGATATTCACATGTACTAGTACATGTTTAACCCAATCATTTTATTTTAAGTGAAGGTCATTTTATATCTTAGTACAAACAAATTTTGAGTTTGTTGTGAAGTACGGATCTGACTTGTTGGCATGGCTAGACTGAGGTCAAAGAACAGCAGAAATAGTTGTATTTTTGTTCCTATTTACCATTAATAATAATATATAACCTTGTACATACACATAAATTCTAATTCATTTGTTCTTAAATTGTTGTTTAGAATACCAGAATGGACCAATTTCTTCCATTGGCAATCCGTGACACCAGAGAGAATGCTGTCAGACCAGCACAGGGACTACGATTTGGAAATTTTAGTGGTGCAATAGCATTACCCAGTGTCGGACCGTCTCACAATGCAGGTCAACATGCTAAGGAATATTTCAACAACTTGCAAATTTATCGTAAAATTTGTGAATGGTTTGATAGTTGGATGCCCTGGCAAAAAAGATTATTGCTGTGTGGATTGACAGATAGATGTTCTAACAATCAGTTGGAATACTTATCTACTGCCCTGGAACCTGTTTTTCATAGAGATTATCTGACAGCAGTTAGAGGGAGGTATCCAACAACTCCATTTAAAAAGACTAGGGAGGATGCGACTGTAGTTAATAAAAAAGAAAGTGTTAAACCGACTAAAGTCAAACGGGAGCGGCGTCAAACTGCAACCAGTCAGTCTGAGAGGCATAGAAGGCTAGAAAAATTAGTTGATGGATATGTTGACAACATTCTAAAAGATGCAGTAGAAGCAGTAGTAAGTCAAGAAAGCCTGAAAAGTCAGGAAGAATACTTCTTCTTTGATCAAACAGAAAAATTTGCTAAGCAGTTTGTTGATAAGGTTATTGCTACTGCTGTAGAAAGTGTGAAAGAATTGCGTGAGCAGGAAGCAAGCAGTACAGTTTCTGAGAAAACAGTACTAAGGCCTCCAAAAAGTGGAACCCAAACAAAAACTCCATCTCAGCTTGGTGAAATTGGTGTTGTGTCTTCCAGACCTCCTAGTCAGTCTTTGCGTTCTCATAGTCGCCAGTCTTCCAGACCAGTGAGTCACCAGTCACCAAGACCATTCAGTCGACTGTTACCTTTTAGTTGTCAATCACCAAGACCTCCCAGTGAGTTGAAAAAATCACAACTTGACAGTTATATAACTCAGGTGTCCAGGGAAAACACTCTTGGGAATTTTCCGCGACCAACAAGTTCTGAAGATACCCAACAAAAGACACCTGAAAAAGTTTCTCGTAATATTTTAAGCAGGTCTGAAGAATGCAAAACAATGCCTAGTAGGTTATTGGGCAATAGGTTTGAGAAGACACGTCATTGGTCATTTGATGGTGGAAAACCAGACAACCAGTTGTTTTCTGAACAAGGAAAATCCCCTTTAGATACACTTCTGTATGGAGACGTAGATGAACAATTTAATCCATTTACTAAGACAACTTTACATCACAGATCAAGCTTAGTAGCAACACCACTATCTATCTTCAGACAAAGTCCAACCTATCAGCATCATCATCGGAGTAACATTAATTCAGCCAATAACCTTCATGCTTCAGATTTTTTTGATCAACAGAAAATTAAAAAGCTGGGTGAGTAGTACTGTTTAATTTCTTAAATTACCCACTACTAACAAGGAAATCTTTGTCCCCTGTGATATTTAGCTTTGACTGCATGTTTTCTACAAAGCTTCAGATAAGCACCAATGCCGGTACTTAACTTTGTTACTTTTCATAAACTTTATTATCTTCACACTTTTGCTAAGATTGGGGAAAAAAATTGACCAAGTTATAAGTTACAGATAGTTTTGGCACTGGTAAATCATAAAACCAAAACCAAATAATTTCAAATATAATTTTTTTTATTGTATTGCCATTGATAAAAATTCAAAATTTACAGTAGGCACAAACAAGATTCATACAGGTAACTTTCAACTTCCCTGGAAAAGCCCTCATCAATGTTCTAATAACACAATCAACTGTTTCTGGTAAAACTTTGTTTTTTTACAATGGAGTGGTTAGATATTTTCTTGCTAAAATATTTTACAGAACATACATTTTGCATGTTTCATCATTTTGTCAATAGAGGGTGCTGTGCAGTGGCAAAATACTGTAGAATACTTTATTTTCGCTGGAATTAATTTTCGCTGAAAAGGCTTTTTGGGCGTTTTGTATGGAATTTATTTTCACTGATTTCTGATGAGTTTAATGTGAAATATAGGAAAAAAAGTATATTCGCTGGATTTTATTTTCACGGAATCATCCCTTCAGCGAAAATAGCGAAAATAAATTCCAAGCGAAAATAAAGTATTCTACAGTAAGTGAAAAAAAAGATCGACCTGCACTTTTTGGAGGGCTAATGTAATGTAAATAAATGAGCATGTATATTTATATGTACATGTATTCTTATTTAGGATTAATGCATGGTGCGCTAAGAAGTGGTCAAATCAAAAAACCAAATGGTATTCAAGATATTCACTTACCTTTTCAAAAGACATTTAAAAACAAGAGATGGTGGGGTGGCAAAGTACCAGATGGAAAACACCTCATCAGAGCACAAAACAGTCAACTTAAACAGTATTTCAAGGCACAACTCAACCAAGTGTGGGAGGTGTGTTAGATTAACTTTTATAATTTAAAGAAAGCATTAAGGATGTTTTGATCTATTATTTATAGTGTATGATGTCACTGTCAAATGATAATGTATTAATTTTCAGTGTTAGTTTACTAAATTATAAGTGTATATGTACCAATAGTTCTATTAGGATTACCATCAAGATCTTTGCTGTTCAAAAGTTTGAGTATAACAAAGAATTTATTGTTTTGATGATTACTTTGACATTGGACCTACACTTCATGCTAAAAGAACCATTGGTTTGATTTCTAAATGTCTTCTGTGTTCTCTTGTAATAGTGGATGTTTGAATGGGAAGACCATGAACGAGGTGATTTACTGGTGGAAGTCATCAAACTTTGTGATGAAGAATTGATTAAATTCTTTGCACAATGCCTTCTACAGAGGTAAATAAATTGCTCATCAAGATACAGTTTTATTTTCACTGCTCCTATTATGAGTAAGAATGGTTTTCATTGTTAAAACCTGTTACATGTTATTGCTATGGGAAGTGTATTGGAATTTGGAAATCAAATGGGGAACAGTTCAAGTATAAACAATTTTTTACTCCAACACTTCAGTGCCTGGATACGATGAATGCTTTATTCAAAAGCAATTCAACTTTGACTGTTGTTTGACAAAGTAAACTGCAGACTTCATCCTGCCAGGTGTCACGACTAAGTCAGCCATAGTAAAGTGGTGAAGTACTACCGTACTTACACATACAGTTTAATTGTAAAACTTTACTACTGCATATGTAATCCTTTTCTTTTAAAAGTTATTATGAAAATCACTTGTGTATGTGCTCTAGGTGTTAATAATGCATAAGGTTTCAATTTTGTCTGAGACGTTTGCTCCTTTATTTCTGCATGCTTGAGGTAATTCCCTTTTTCATTTTCTGAATGCCTTATTTAGGGTCCAAAAGTCACATTGGTGGTATGTATCCTGGAAATGTCACCTGCCTGCATCTTTTTCTGTCTGATATACACGTTTGGTTTTATGCACCTGTTTTCTTATATTCACAGTTGCTCTTACTGTTTAGACACACTAGTTTGAAAGAATTTTATTGTAAATGTGCACAGTGATTATAATGCAGTGAAATTATACAAGTAGAAACTACTACGAATAAACTTAGCGTAGTTCTATTTTTTTGTCTGTGATTTCATAAATGAACTAACAATTGAATGCTAACTGTAAAACCAGGCACTACTGTGGAATACTTTATTTTCGCTAGAATTAATTTTCGCTGAAAAGGCTTTTTGGGCGTTTTGCTTCGAATTTATTTTCACTGGTTTTTGATGAGTTTAATGTGAAATATAAGAAAGAAAGTATATTCGCTGGATTTTATTTTCACGGAATCATCCCTTCAGCGAAAATAGCGAAGATAAATTCCAAGCAAAAATAAAGTATTCTACAGTAATTTGCATAGTATTAGTAAAGTATCATATAGCAGGGCTCGAAATTCATAGAGGCCAAGAAGGGCAATTGCCTTGATGCCCTACCTGACTGTCTTGGTGCTCTTAAATGTTCGCTACACAGTTTCAATGAGACCAAGGTATTTTCAGAATGTTTTGCCTGAAAAATTAGTGCCCTCACAATTGCAAAGTAAAAGCCCTGTTATACAGGTAGTATCAATTAGTAATGTAGCATAGTATTAGTAAGGTAGCATTCATTTTATGAACAACTAAGGACATTTCGTCAGGAATCTTCTCACTATATTGCTGGGCAATTGCCTACAGTGCGTGTTTATGGAAACAGTATTTGTTATTTTTTCATAGCATTATGTCTCACTCTGTTGGCTATTTATAGCTGAAAAAGTGTCAAAATCTGAATTAATTAAACTCTTCAATTAAAAGATTGGAACCCTAATTTTTGTTGCCGTTTTCTAAAACTCAGTTGATTTTTGCCTTATAAAATAAATGTCCAAAATATCCATCTTTAAGGCCAAAGTCCACTTTTCACAAAATAAACCTGAATATTTGTTTTTTTAAATATTGATCAAGATATGTAGCTAATTAGAAATTATGCTCATTTATTTCGAAAGTAATTTAGAAATTATAAAAATGTTGACATTCACAGGGTTTATTAATACTAATATTGTTGTCTGCCTGTGCTTGAATAAAACAAAACTACCGTAATACTACAGTGGATTTTGAAAATCATGGTCATGTCAATAGGTGATTTTCCGTACAATTGCGAGATCTCGCGAGATGCATGAAAGACGCGCGTCGAACGTCTGCAGCAAAAATCGAACGATTTGATTTTGAACTCCAATTTCCTTATTTCGTAGCTCACACCAACCGGCCGATCTTCGACAGAGGAATATTGCCCAAAATACTTTCGCGTTTGTCGAATCCCACGCGATGTTTGATGCGACTACGACGCTATGACCTTTGTTTGTCCTGTTTTTACCTTCGATTTCACGCATAACGCGTGATTCTCGCAGTGTACGGAAAATGGTCTATTGCAGACTAGCAACGCCATTTGTGATGATTGTCATTTTCTTCTATAATTTACACATAATGATGTACTGTAGAATACTTTATTTTCGCTTGGAATTTATTTTCGCTGAAAGGATGCTTCCGTGAAAATAAAATCCAGCGAATACATATACTTTTTTTCCTATATTTCAAATTAAACTCATCAAAAAATCAGTGAAAATAAATTCCATGTACAAAACGCCCAAAAAGCCTTTTCAGCGAAAATTAATTCCAGCGAAAATATAGTATTCCACAGTATTTTACATTTCAATTTAATAATTCATGTTTATTTTTTTTTTAAAGGTTAAGAGATCGTAACAGTATAGACAGTGTTCCAGATAAGATAATGCTAAAGGTCTTCACATACTTATCACCACCAGAAATCAGCATAGTTTCACAGGTATGCCGCAGATGGCGCTATATCACAGCACAAGATGAGCTGTGGCTGGTAAAATGTGAAGAAATGGGTAAGATTGTTAATTTTCAATATTTGCGCTGCATAGTTTCAAGAGATATAAGTATGCCAGGGGATAAGTTCAGCTCAAATTAAATACTTTTATTAAGGTAGCGGGAAGGGAAATTTTCACTTTTTTCTTGATTTTTCAAAAATTGATTAAACGGTTACTCTAGACCTTGATACATCATCCCAGGTTTACAAAAGATCGAAATTGTAAAATAACGTTGCTTAAATTAGTGTTTTAAAGCGCTAGCAGAAAAGACTACAACTGCCGTTTCGTGGATATTTGCATAATGTTTATCTTTGGAAGGGTTTAAATGATAACATCTTATCTGTATACTCTGTTGTTGACGATTCTGATATAACGGGTGATAAGCTTTCCGTCGCAAACAATGCGTGTTTATCTAACGTCCATTGTCAGCATTATTGTCAGTCGAGACTTCGTCGGAGCATGGACGTACTACATGGTTGGAGAAACATGGTCATACAGTCTGGGCATACAGTACTCATTTCGCCCAACCTTCCGCTTTTACATCTACCGCTTATCCCTTAATTTCCGACCACGCGGTCTTGTCCGACCGGATACTGACCGTATTTTAATCGCGTTTTTTTTTTCGCTCGCTCACTTATTGAAACAACCGACCGCTCGCCCAAACACTGATCACTGGCACGTGAGTGGTCCAAATGGTGGTTTTGATAGTAAAGTGTGAACATTCTGAACGACACTTTAAATCTCATAGTTGTATGACACTTGTATCGTGAAAGCAACTGGACCTCTTGTTACGTGTTTTGGGTGCTTGTTCTGGATGTAATATTTTATATTATTTTAATGAGACAGTTACGTGAAAAAAGCATGGGTAACTCATTTTGACAGAGCAGAGAAACAAGGAAATGTTAATGATTAATTTAAAAAATAAGGATACCAAATCCACGTCGGTCGGTCCGGTAAAATTTGACATTCAATTTTCAAAAATAAGTCACGATCATTGATTCAGAATGAGTTCAGTCTATACCGTATACATACCGTAAAAGTGTTCCCACAAAAAAATATTTTTGGCTAAAAACGGCCACATGCCCTAAACAAATCGAATAGAGCTTAACATGTATGAATAATTTATTGGGCTTAAAAAAAAACGTGTCAAATTTAGTTATAGCCATAAATATTTGGTGGCCAGTCGATGAACAATTCGAAACTCAGGATTCACATGGAAGTCCCCCAGGGCTTAAAATCATCGACCCTACTCTGGTTTACTTTATTTCCCAACTTGCAGTGAAAACTGATTCACCATGGACTCTAATGTATCTCAGTCTAGTATTTTCTTTTTGAACTGGGGTCAAATTCCATCCGGTTGTCAAAATATACCGATGTTTTTCAGCAAATAATTTTGAAGCCTGTCACAGCACAAAAACACTATGTGAATCGACACCGGAAATTGGATGGTACGACGACCCTTCAATTAGCGTCAAATATGCTTTGTTACAATATCACTGATTGGCTGAAACTCACATGATCGATGCACGACCTGGGTCACAGAAACATATTTGTCCGTATTATAAAT